CCATGACCGCTGTTGCCGGAAACTACAATCCGCACTCACCTACCGATAATCCCATTTGCGAAACGGATGGTGATGAAGAGCAATACGTGGGCGAGCAGGAGTCTTTTGGCGATGGCCCTTTTGATGTGTATTTGCATGGGAATGCGGCGCTGATGTTGAGTCGGATGGTGAGGAGTGGGGGGCTCGATGAGGGTCGTGATTTGTAGTACTAAAGGTGTGTTTTTTTTTCTTTTTGTTTTTATGGGGGGATTTTGGGGGAAGGGAAGGGAAGAGGAGAGGAGAGGAAAGAAGAGGAGAGAATTGGTGGGATTCCATTAACGTGAAGAAATGAATAGTGGACGGAGTAATCCTACATTTCGCGCCAAACGGGCACTCCCTTAACTACCGCTCCTGTATCATCCACGGAGACGCCGAAGCAGTGGTAACCGACGCGGAGAAACGCTACGCAATGCACCTACTAACCAACCACATGATACGACGACGCTGGTCAATGACGAACGAAGTAGCACCCGAAGCAATGAAGAGTGTGCAGGTGATCAAAGTAGTGGTGCGCAGTGCGTCAGCGAAAACTAGGACGGGGAATGTGAATAGTCTGGAGAAGGCGGGATTGGGTGAGAGAGATGATGTGTGGACAGGGGCGGTGCCATTGTATGAGGTTCTGGGGGAGCCCGTGGGGAGTGGTTATTGTCCGGATAGGCCGATGCAGGAGGGTTTGGTGGATTGGAGGATGAGGAGGAATGAGAAGGAGAAATCGTATGCGGGGACGGCGGCGCAACCTTTGATAGATGGTAAAAAGTAAACGATATTAGATACCCAGAAAGCAATATCCATTTATTTGTGGAAGCGAGGAGGATGAGCGTAAAAATGTGATCGTGACAGTAACAAAATTCGGCATTTTGGACTCCGTTTGTAATGAATTATCCGATCACAAAACGCCGGCAAAAACATCCTAGATCGCCATTCTAACATAAACCGACCTATACATAGGCACCCATCCGCATTCAAATTAAAGTCAATCAAACCAAAAGTATACAACTCCCCAACTCCCCAATCGTCTCCGTACAATCCACCAACCTCCCATCTCTCTCCTGAAGTTCCCACGACTTCTCCAAAATCTTCAACGCACTCCCCGAATTTCCAAAGGAGCGGGAGTCGGTCACTGCACCTCTTGACGTCTCCCTGAAGAATTCTTGATCTTGTCTTGAGCTTGCTAGACAGCCGGCGACCGATAAAGGCCATACCATGCCTCGAAACATTTGGGGATTGGGGATCATGCGCATGGCATTGATCGTGTGGTGAAGTAGCATGTCTACATCTTCTGGTAATACGTGATCAGTGACGACCATTTGAAGATAGATGAGGGCGGCGCAGGCAAATATATGTGTGACGACATAAATCGTATGTTTGTTGTAGAGATCGGTATAATAATATGGTGGGGTGCCTCGATGAATTGCCCGTAGAGCTGTGAGTTCGTTCAAGGTTTCGGCATTTTTGGACTCGAGTCGATTTCGTATATTCTGTTCCGTCACAACTAACTGTTGTTCGAAACCCATGGTACCATCTTGTTCATGCTTTCTTCTCCATGTTCCTAGCCATGCAATCTCGCTGATCATTATCATTACCCAATTTTCACATCCCATAATCGATGTCAATTGAATTTTATGATCAGATTTTGACGAACCTGGCTTTTTAGCTGAAAGGAGTCGATTATGAAATTCGGATAGCCATGGATGAGATCCTGTAGATACACAGGCTCTGTAAATTCCGTGTTAGCAATCGTCTGATGATGAACATATCATAGAGCAGAGGGAAAAAACAAAGTGTAGGACTAGGCGTGCTTACAAAGCGTCCATCCAAATAATAGCACCAGTGAAGAAATCTAAAGCTGCACTATCACGAGAAACACCACTGGTACTAGTAATAGACTCAGGAGAATTGACATAAGGATAGTTGAAACATTGAGAAGAGTTTAACAGTGTTTCCGGTCCCGGAATACTACCATTTGACACTTCATGGAGTACCAATATAAGCTCTGATGCAGCTCGTAAGTGAACTTGCCAATTACTCACACCTCCATTGAATAGCTTGAAATCATTGTTAGTATCCTATAGTATACTTAAAGATAAGAACACTCACCTCGAATGAAATTAATTGACACATGCAAGCAAGGATCTGGATATTCCCATCAAATACTCCTTGCTCAGATGCATTCCTGTTGTGAGTTTGAATGAAGTTTTGCAATTCCTTCAAAGTCAAATTATGATGATGTTGTAATTCATGAAGATAATCTATCTCGGCTTGACCACCTTCCTGTTCTAAAAGAAGAGATTGACGATGGAAAGCACTCAAACTTAGAGCTGCATGGTATAGAGGTTTCGTCCTGGTCAACAATGATAGAAGCCATCCTCTTCCAGACGATAATGATGGGATATGAAAACGAAATTGTATAAAGAACACATGATCCAGGTAATGCATCATCAAACTTGCTTCTTGATCCTCAATCCATTTTGGAAATAATGGAGATTGAGGTTCGATGCTTTTATCATGGTCCATTTCCATACGAGAAGATATTGAAACAACATTGTCAATACCAGTACATGATAGATGACTTACTCTCCTGGGAGTTTTCGTCGTACTAGGAGATTGAGGTTCGATGGTTTTATCATGGTCCAATTCCATGCAAGAAGATATTGAGACAACACTGTCAATACCGGTACCAGTGCATGGTAGATTGCTTACTCTCTTGGGAGTGTTCGTCGCACTAGGAGATTTCGACGATCTGGGCGACGATGATATAGAGATTGGTCTTATCCTCGCACGAAAAGCCGCTCTCTTTTTACTTGCGGACGCAGCAACAACCGCCTTAATCCTCTCCAGCTCTTCCTTCCCAACTTTAGGATCATCAATCCATCTTGGTTTGGGTCCATACTGACACTCTACATTGACATTTGCACATCTCAAGCAACCTATGATCAGGCAAACATTCATTAGATCAAACTCGGCAAGTGGGAAGTAAGGTTAACTCATGAATCAAAAGAAACCCACCGGGTTGTACTTCATCACATTTCTTTTTCCGAATTCGACAAGTCCAACAACCCCGATTACTTCGGATAGCCAGTGGCGAATCGGCATTGATGCCAAATGTATTGTTGTCCATCGGGTACAGTATGGGGATGGTGTTAGGTGGACACTTGCATATGTAGATGATTGCCTGATATACAAATCATTGTGGTACACACAGAGGAGTACCGGTCGGTATACGCATATAAATCGGTACTTTACTGTATCTCGTATTAGCTACAGTAATCCAATATCATTATCACAGCTCATGATTCTTCTCCTCTCCCATGTCAGCTTGGCGACGCCCTTTTTTATCATATCATGAGTTTGACATTGTCGAATAAAATAAGCAGGTTTAGGATTGGTAGGGATGTAAATGTAGGTTAATCAACATTTCATTTGGATAACGGACTCAAACATACCAGTCGGTATCTTTGACTTGCATAGGACCCCAAGTGTAAATGTGACAATGAATACCTAGTACTCTCTCATCTTGATTCTCTCATAGTAAGAAGTAGAAGGATGTCAATGTTGTGGTTCATTTTTTGAAACTGGAATAAAAGAGCAACTGGAGACGAGAAAGAAAAGATTTCATTCATCTCGGCTCGCCTTACGTGATGGATGCTTGTCTTGATGAGGAAATTATTATCAAATCCAATTTAAACTCCGATTTATCTAACTCATCGATTAATTAATTCATAAATCTAATCTATAGTTCTTATCATTCTTATCGGTTCAAATATTATATTCGAGTAGATCATTCAGATAAAACAAATTATTTGATAATCCAAGTAGATCTTCATCATCATCATCATCATCATCATCATCAGCAGCATCAACAGTAAAAGTACAATATTATGTGTTTATTATATGTTCTCACTCTCCTACTCTCTCCTATTCTCCCACTGAATATCTCTAGGTACTTCTCTAGCTTAAGCTACATACTGATTATAGATATTCATGCCAATCATGATATGCCTACTCCATATCTGCTACTTGACCATCGCAACAATGTCCCATATCCATATCTATTCCCCTTCGTCACTGTTAATCCTCATTATCATGCAATTAATCTCGATCATTCCCACCCATCCACCCATCCACCCATCCATGCGCCAGGTAAAGTCACACCGACCGTCCATCCATCCATTTCATTTTCCACATCCCAGCACCAGCACCAGCACTAGCACCTTCGCAAGTAATGCCATGGCATGTCAAGTCAACCGAAAAGAAAAGATTTCCCAAAATATCCCTAATCCACTCCACAAACTTAATGTATCGAGCAGAATACACATGTAATCTTTAAATAAAGAAAGAAAGAAAGAAAGAAAGAGATGGCGAAAATGATTAAGCCAAGTACCGGTACGTAGGAACATTAGCATCCTCGATTCTATCCAAATACTCTCGCTCAATCAGACTTTCGATTCGTCGCTTCATCATGTTTATATTAGGTTGGAAACGATGGGAAAGTTGAGAGATTACTTCCGCGACGAGTTGTTGATGAGGAAATTCCTTGCGTGCCCTATAATTATTGATTAGTATAATAGTTGTGACATGAATGACAGGTAAATTCAAAACGTACTTCATAATTCGCACAATGACCGTGTCCATGACACTTCCTCTATGCTCATCATTTCTTTCCTCCGTCTGTCTTCTCTCTTCAGCTCCTTCCACCTTATTAGACATGCCACCCATCGCTTGAGCTTTAATCTTGACAGTTTTGCTGACGAAAGAGGTGTTGAATGTGAAAACATCACCCAATTTAGGGTGTTCGTTGGGTTTGCCTGGTGTCTTGAGTAGAACTCGAGATTTTGGCGGACCAGAGAGTTGCATAAGTACTCGGGGTAGGTCTTTCTCGGGAATATTCAAGCGTTCTTGTATTTCCTCAAAAGATAGTGATTCGCCATTTTGGAGGTCGTTGAAAAGCATTAACACGATCATGCCATGAGTGTTGACATTCAATTCGTACTTGCGCTCCCTGCCCTTCACCCCTGTCTCGCCTGGAATGGCGGGAAAGGTACATCGGATATCTGCGTTTCCGAGGTTGCCTAGCCAGGTCAACATTCGACCATTGCGATCCTTGAGGTAAAATGCTCGGAACGAGTCTTGCAATTTTTGGATTTCTGCCGGCCAGTTGCAAGTTTGTCGAGGACCATCCTCTTGTGAAGGGATACCACCAATAATTTCTGTAGGCCAACAATTTGTTGAGAGGATGATAGCAGAGAGGTCGATTTGATTTCGGTCCTTATCTCCGAGATTACTGATGTGATTCCGGTAATTGGAAGAAAGTTCTTCGGACATTGTAACGTCCTTGAACATGCCTTCAAGCTTGGTAGTGAACGCGTTGCCAATTTCCAGTTTCATTCGGGAAATCATCTGCTTCTCAACATCACTGCTTTCGGACTTGTTGAGTAGTAATCGCTTGGCAAGATGCTTCTTATAGTATCTCTCAAACATATCTTTGTCCTGGATATATCGAAGTAGGGTAGTGGCCTTATCCAAAACTTCATCAATCTCAAGCTCAGTCTTGCCCTTGATTCCACGCTTGAGATTGTCATCAATAAACAAGGAGACAAACTCAGAACATCGATCGAAAAGGTTGATGAAATCGGAAAAGCTCTTGGTAATAGCTGTCTGGAGGATGAGATCTTCCTGAAGGCACTTCTTCCACATGTTGTCAAACTTATCCTTCAAACGCAAAACCTCATCAACCCACTTGATGGCTGCAAGGGTCTGCTTCGCGGCAGCATTCATTGGCTTGACCTTCTTCTTCGAAACTTCCGCGTCTTCCTCCTCTGCTTCAGGTTTGTTATCATCTGCCGCCACAGGACCGCCGAAATCACCACTAGAAATGATTTTGTTGATTTCAAGTCCTAGATGAACCACTCGAGCCTGCAAGGCGACCTTCAGTGGTTCCTTGGTTGGGTCTATCCGGCTAATAAGCTGGTATAAAATGGTCAAATCTTCATATCGGTCATTTTCGATCATTGCCTGTAGACCACTGCCCTCCATCGCCAGGAATTCGTTCAAATGGCTGCTGATCAATTCTTGCTCGACAACTTTCTGTATCTTCTTGCTTGTGAGAATTGCTATAGTGGTATTGCATCGATCGGTTTCCTCGTCTAGGCGCTTTTTGGCTTGACGTAGCCATGTACTGGCAGGGGAATCCCGCAGTAAAGTTTGACATTCTGCTTGGTAGAACTTTTTGCTAGCCGCCAAAAACGCCGGCTCAAAGATAGTGAAATACAACTTCTCGTTTTCATTCTCATCGTCTGTTTCGTATAGTGCCTCGAGCATATAGATGACAGATCGGATCAAATGTCTATTTATGACATCTCCTTCTCTCTCCATTCCAATTTGATCCAGTATAACCGAGTTCAGAATATCAAAAGTTATGATGCTTGAATCTTGAAGAAGGCGTGAACGTAAAATGTGATCTCGGAAAAGGCCCATGGCAGTGGTGTAAATTGAAGCCTTATCATTGTCGTTACAATAAACACGATCCATGTACATGAGGACATCGGTTGTCATACTCATACAAGTATTGTGATCAGTCCATGAAGCTCTAAGTCCACCCAAAAAGTGTTCACCAGTGATTCTTCGTTCGTTTGCAGCAGTTCCAGATACGCCACCGGTAGCCACGTTAACCAGATTTGCAGTAATCAGTTTCCTGATATCTGGCATCACTTTTCCGGCAAACCATTGTTCTTCGAAAACCTTGACCCGATCATAAAGTAAGTCCCCCTCATTCTTCAGTACGATTTTGTAAGATGCTCGGTAGAGTTGTTCGAAGGATAATTTAGAGGAGTTCTTTTCGTGGATTTCTCGAAGGGCGTTTTGTAGAATTTCCCACTGCACATCAAATTCATTTTGACGTCCATGACCTCCAAAAGCCTATTTCAAGAAAAGAAAAAAGTAGTCAGCAAAAGAACGAACAGAGTATATGAATATTCAGGACTCAGGTATACTGCAAGGTAAACTACCAGCTGACTTATATTTATGGCATATACAAGCGCAGTATCGAACGACTGTCCTCGAATAGAAGCCATACTGAATCACTCCGTATCCCGACTCCTGCGCAAATAGAGTGCTGACGGTTCATTAAAGGTATTCGCAGATTGTGGTATGTTTCGCACAAGAAGTATGAAATATTGCAGTGAATAGAAAGTTATAACATACCCGACGAGGGGCACGAATCTTAGTTCTACCACGACCGGATATCATCTTTGAAAGTTTTAAGCTTTCCTTCGAGGTTTCACAATAGCAATATGCTCATTTCCCAATCTCTGCACACAGTACGAGTAGATATTCGTTCGTTCGTTCGTTCGTTGTGGTTTTGCGGGGTTAGATACAAGGCTTTGATAATTGCCATGCATTTCTGTTGGCACTGTTGATGAACAAATGTGCGAATAAAAGTGTGTAACTTATTGAATGAAGATGAAGAAGGTAAGAAAGTTATTTATTATAAACAAGAAGTTAACAAGTAAATCAGATCTTAAAAAGTTAAGAAGACAAAATAAAGTGACGTTTCTTGAAGATTCCCGTTATCGGAACGGATTAACTATAGCCGCAGCTACTGTATCTCGACTTCTCCCAAATTCACCAACATCGAACTTCAAACTTCAAACTCCAAAACGCCCCTCATCCGGGACCTTCCTTCGCTCTCTCAAATCCCCCGAGACAATATTTTTGGAGCTCCTGAAGCCCATCCGATTCCACATCAACCATCAAATCCTTACTTTTCCCATCCAGTCAAAAGTTGCCTGCTCCCTCAGACGTGCAACCAAACCTTCACAATGTCGATCAAATCCTCTACCTTTGCCGCATTTCGAGCATTAACACGACAAACCAGCCGCAAAACCCTACCTCACATATCCGCATCCTCATCCTCGAGACCCATCCCTTCACCATTTTCTCCCCTCCTCATAACGCAGCTCCACCCCCGCCACTACAGCCGCGCCCGACCCCTCACCGACTCACCTCCATTTCCCTCTCCCATCACCTCCGCACCCCGAGCCCCCCAGCCCTCCTACGACATAACCTTCACCTGCACGCCCTGTTCCGAGCGCAGCACCCACCGCATCTCGAAGCAAGGCTACCATTCCGGCTCGGTGCTCATCACCTGTCCTTCGTGTAAAAACCGGCATGTCATCAGTGATCACCTAGGGATATTTGGGGATCGCAAATTGACGATTGAGGATTTGATGGAGGAGCAGGGAATGCTGGTTAAGAAGGGGACGTTGAGTGAGGATGGGAATATCGAGTTTTGGAGTGATGGGACGGCGACGGAGAGGAAGAAGGAGGGTGGAGAGGGGGAGGCAGCGGGGGGTGATGGGGGGATTGAGGGGCCGATGAGTTAAGGGCTGTGTGGAGTATTTGCATAATGTGTGATGAGGTCACATTTACTGGGTTCTTGGGGATCGTGGAGTAGGCCCTGGAAAGTAGGAGCCTGGAAGAGCTCCGGCGCAGACTCATTCAGAGGCATGAGGCCTTGTAGGAGGATATCACTTTAGTCCAACAAGAGAAGGTGACCTTGTGGCGATTCCACCAACACGTATCAGATATTCTGGGAGAACACATGGAGAAGGACCAGTTTGGATTTAGCGGGACGATGATATTGCATCGCATAAAGTTTCGGCGTTCGTGGATGAAAAATGTAGGAATAGCTCGGGATTGTAAGACTTCTGGCCATTACTCATCGCATACCCCTTCGTTTCGTGACAAAATCCCCGCAAAAATCATATTTTTCTATATAAATATAAAAATCAAATAACTTTTTCAATATTATAAATTAGATTTTGAAGCTTTTTTATATAATTAATTATTATTAATATCATTTAATAAATTAGTTAAAATAATTTTAATAATTTTTTATAATGAAAAATAAATACTGAAATTCTGAAAATTTGGAAAATTTGTGAATATAACGTTTTTCTTATACAAAATAAGCGATTTTTTCGAAAATTTTATTTGTATTAACTTTAAACAATAATAACTAAATAACAAAATTAGATAAAATTATTTGATTTATTTTTTTCATAATTTTAGATAATTAAATATTTATATCACGGGGCTGGTACAGATTCTGGTGAGTACTAGATATAATATATAATATTCGATAAAGAGAGGAGATATATAGAGCGATAATAATTATATAATAAATGAATATCTAAGGTATTCATCTGAGCTAGCTAGAAATAAATAATAAACTTGTAATAGTATCTTTTTTTTTCAAATCTTGTTTATTTTCAAATAAATATATAATGTAATAAATAATATAAAATCCTTTGTTTTTTGTAACAAATTATATTAAATTATTATTATTATATATTCTAATTTTTTTGTTTTATTTATTATTTATTATCAAAACTGTAATTTTCAAAGATTATTATGTAAATATAATTATTGAATCGAACACTTTTCTTTAATTCAATATTACTAATTTGTAATTTTCTTTTTTTAATAAAATATTGTAGCTTAGATTTGGTAGATAATAGTGTTTATACAACTAATGTTTTTGCTGCGATAAAAAGTTCCTTTGTAATAGGGTTTTAAAGAATTCAGATAGATAGACTAGACTTTTTTGAATATAATATAACGTGGTTTATCAGTGGGTCGGTGTGACCAAAAGGGTATAAACAGGACTCCGATTGTGTACTTAGAATCTACAAGTGAAGAGCTATGTAGGATGC